TTCACTTCTGTTTTCAAACCACACAACCTTTTAAGTTCATTGTTAAATGAATTTGTGCTCTTGCCCTGGCTGGTCGGGCTCCGTGGACTGAGCGCCGGCCCGAGAACCAAAGGGTTGCGGCTCGATCCCCAGTCAGGGCACAGGCCTGGGTTGCGGGCCAGGTCCCCAGTGGAGGGCGCACGAGAGGCAACCACACATGGGTGTTTCTCTCCCTCCCTTCCCCTCTCTAAACATAAATAAAATCTTTATAAAAAATGAATCTGTGCTTTCCAGGAATTTCCTTTCCTTTCCCTGGCGTTGCTCCTCTATTTGAAGAAGTTCAGCTTCTAGTTTTCGCTGATAAACCATGAAGGACTGGACGTGTCGTTTGAGGACTGCATCCTAGCTGCTGTGACAACCGCCCGGACGTCTGGCACCGCCCTCTCACCGAGGACTTCACTGACGAGGCGCTGGCTTCTCCGTGAGCGGGCGGTGGCTGCGTGTCTCCCTGGTAAGCCATCGTCATAATCACCTGGACGGTCAGCGGGCCGGGCGCTCGCCTACGGCTCCTTTGTCCGGGCGTGGCCGCCCCCGTTGACTCTCTGCCTCTAAAGCAGCTTCTGCACGACCCTCTGCACGTACGTGAGCAAGGTAGGCGGGGGGCTACGGTGGGCCTCATCGATGCGTTGCGCTCTGTCTTTCCTGCTTTGTATTTGCTTAAATGTCCTGGTTTTTCATCAGCGAGATCTTGCTCCGTGCCGCCGACGGTCTTGCCAGCCCCCCAGCACGGCGGGTCGGGGTCGCCGACAAGGTCTGGTTGGCAGGGAAGAGGGAGAGAATGGGCGCTGGATGGCACCGTGCCGGGTCTGTCATTCTGACGCCACGTGGCTGGCTTGTCGTCAGCATCATTACCTGAACGTTCCCGGCAGCTCCCGCTCCTCTGCACGTGACGGCGGCTCAGAAACATTACGGAGCCAGTGTGTCCGGCTCCGTCGTTGCTTCCTCTCACGATCCTGGCCGCTCACCTGCACCCTGGCCGCGCACCCGCACCCCGCACGTCGCGCCTGATGCTGGGTCTTGGGTGCAGGTGCGATAGGACTCTCTTCGCTCTTGCCTGTGCGTCTGGTGATACCTTCCGCCCTGGAGGAGTTATCTGTCCACACGGACGTGGGTCCACTCACACTGCACGGCACACAGGCCGTTTCCCACACGCTTGTAACGGCACGTCCGTGCTAATTCTGGCCATGGCTGTTGCACACCCGGACGCCTGCTCTTGCGGCCCTCCCACTCTCTGTCTTGTTATGCAAACAAGCCATTCATTCAACAAGGCACTGCCTGTCCCCTCTGCCTCAGGAAGGGTCCTGGGACCCAGGGAAACCTTATTGGCAGGCACTGCATCCATTCCTCCTGTCCTCCTTCCTAAAACAGAATCCCAGTTTGACCAGGTGATGGCTCATAATAGGTCGAAGCCTCACGGGACAACCCAACTCTCTGCTTCCCAGCCTCCCAGCCCTTGCAGCTGAGCACGACATGTGACCTAGTTCTAGCCAATGAGAACTTGTGCAAGGGCTCTGAGAAAGTAAGTTCCCGATGCAGGAGAGAGATGCATATGCTGCTACCACTCCTTCCTTTTTCCTGCTCCGAACTCAAATGCAATGTCTGGAGCCACAGCACCCAGTTTGCAATGATGAGGCAATAAAGTAACAAACTGAAGGTGGTGGAATGCTACCAGCAGATATTAGGCACACGGAGGTGCCACAGATCTGCTGCTCCTCTTCACTCTTACGTGAGAAAAATTACTTGTTTAAGATTCTGTCAGTTGGGTTTTATCCTCTTGGCCGGGAACATTCCAAAATGACCTCAGGGGTAAACCGGAGCAAGAGGGCTGCTGTCCTCATGCACCTTACGGTTTACGTGAGAGAGGTGCTTACCCAGGTGATATAAGTTGTCCAAGGAGGAGGCAGAGTGTGGTGTGATGGTCACAGGATGGTCCCCAACTGGCGGGGGCATGGGACAGGGAAGGCTCTTCTGAGGAAGCCTCAGAAACAGAGCCCACCTCCCTGCAGTGTTTCAGCTCACCGCACCCACTCTCCTGGGGCAATGTCCAGGCCCCACCCCCTCCTGCGACCAGCAGATAAGATGTCGGCTCACCTGTTACCCTTTCTCCGGGAGCCTGGGGAGACAGGGCAGCCGCCTCCTGCATTCCCACGATGCCCCCAGGCACGGCCCATCCCTGCCGGGGTGCCGCTGGGAAGCTGGTCTGGCGTCTCCCGGAACCCTGCCCCCCAGAGAGAGCGCCCTGCAGGCCGCCAGCCCAGCCGCGGCCTCTGCCGGGCTGACGGTTAATTATTAACACAGCACGGAAACGGACACCGGCTCACAGCCGCCGGACAGCACCGGCCCAGAGAAAGGGCCGTTCTGGCCTAAGGACAACGACTGAGCCACCGGCTCAGACAGGACCAGGCCCCAGTGATCGCGGCTGTAAGTGGATGATCATGAAAACAAAGCTACCGCGCGGGCACGTATGCAGCTGTGTCCAAAGGCGCACCAGCCAAAGCAGAGACTCGGGGGACGCGGGCACACTGGGGATCCACTAACCGGCGCCTCGCGCGGCTGTGCAGCGGCAGATCTGCTGTGCAAAAGGTCCGCGAGACCGTCGTGTCTGCCCCCTACCGGGGAAAACTATCTTAAGCCTAATTAGCATGAAATGTTTAGAATGCAAATGCTTTTCATTAAGACATAAAGCAAAATGCCACGACATTTCTCCCATCCATTCAACGTAAGTACGTTAACGACTGTGTAACAAGCCGCCCTCTGGAATCCGGACGTCTGGGGTCGCCGGGCGGCTGGCCCAGGCCTAGGGCGGGCCGCCGGGCGGCCGCTCCCAGCTGACAGCGTGCCCATCGGAACGGCCACCATGTGACGTGCGCTTGTCAAAGAACGGCTAGGCTCTCTCCGCTGGAATACCGCAGTTAGAAGTTGTCGCTGCCTACTCGACTTGATTCCCACCGGAATTAAACAAATCTCACACCTTGTGTTTATTTTTGACACGCGCACGTCTACTGCGCTCTTGTAGTTTGCAAAGTTTCCACGCAAGTCGAGAAATTTTTATCGGCCCTGGTTTGAGAGTAGGTCAGCTTTCGCCTCCATACTTGCGACACTGCTTCTGAGATGAACGAGCTCGCTTTGTCCCCGGGGTCCTCCACCTTAAGAGGGGCCACAGGACGAGAATGGGGGGCGGTCCCACGAGGTGCAGGGGAAGAAGTGGGACTCCGGCCCCCGGGGGAGGGCGCCCCGCAGACTCCTGGTTCCCGGGACCCCCTCAGCAGCTCTCCTCTCAGCCCAGGCGGGGCCCCGCCTCCTCTCGCTGATAAGCAGGTGCTTAGAAAATGAGTCTCAAGTCCCCAGATCCTGGGAGCCGGTCCAAGGTCTCCCATAATGACGGGCTCTTCCTCAGCCCCCACCAGGCGAACACTACCTGGACGTGGGGGACTGGCCAACACGCGGCCCGTGACTGAAGCTCCCCTACCCACCGGCCAAGAGCTGCGGCCACCAGGACAGCGAGGACGCCCTTGCTCAAAATCTCACACTTTATTGTAGAAACGACAAGAATCTGTCATTCTCTCCCGTAGTGGGGAGCACCTGTCATAACTAAAATAGAGGCAGTTCTTCTGGAATTCCTCAGTAACACAGACACGCTCGCACCATTTCCTGTTCGGCTCGTACCTGGGGAGGCTCGGGGACGCTGGCTGCAGGACACGCGATTGGGGCCACCTCCGCCGCGTTTCCTGCTACAGCGCACTGAGCCCCAGAAGAGCGCCCGGGCGGTCCCCACAGGCGCACGGGGATGTGCCGCAACCCCCGCGACCCTGCAGGCTGCTCGCCTCTCAGCGCTACAACCACACGACGGGCCGTGCCACAGCGGCTCCCGAAAGCCCCGGCCACACACGCCTCCTCATCAGCATGTCCACCCCTTCCGGGTGCACCGCCTGGGGATGTGCATTCTTTATTGCTTTTTGTCTGTCTGTCTGGTCCTCAGTGAAAGATTCGAGAGCGCCATACCCTGGCTGCAGCAGTCAACTCAGGCGATGACCGATAAGAAGAGCTAGAATCGGTGCAAAATAAAAGCCTTGACTCAGGTAGCGGGACCCCGCGAGTCAGCAGGCTCTACCTCCCCGGAGGACCCGGAGACTCACCTGCTCGCCGGGGCGGGCTGTCAGCGCCCGGGGAAAATCCCGCCCTCCGCGCCTGCAACGCTCACCCGGAGCCGAGGCCTGAGGACCCTCAGTCCTGAGGATCACGCTTCATCTCAAGCTTGCTCCCTCCACCCCTTTGCAAGCAGCGCAAAGCCCCTCCCGGGGAACTGAAGCGAGGAGGGAAGGCCGGCCGAGGGTAAACCCCAGGGTAGGAAGAGCTGATTAACCTCCTCTCTCACGCAAATGTAAAGTTTAATCAGTTTGTCCTGAAAGGCAAACAGATCAATACGCACACTGATCTGCTGTCCCGTGAGCTGCGGTGGGGCCTCTGACGGCGGGTCCCGCGTGTACGGGATCCCGCAGTGCCCGGGACACTCCCTGGCGGCTCCCTCCTGTGCCTACGCGTTGCTGGGGGGGCAGCCAGAGGGGCGAGCACCGCAGTTGCAGACAGAACATCCGTGGGCTTAGCTACCCCCTTTCCCACAACACCGATTGCTTTACCGCGCATCGCAGACCGAGCGTAATTCAAGACCCCGGAATTTCATACATAAAAATACCTAGGAAGAGAGTCCCCCTCTGCACACTACTTGGGTGACGCCGCTGCGTCCGAGTTCCAGCTGGCGGCCCGGGAAATGGTTTCTCTCACTCTGGGCAACAACGAACTGTTCACCTGCGACTGGAAGGCCTTCCCCGTGGCCCCGGCCGCAGCTCGCTGACCTTGAGCAAAGAGCGGGCCTCCGGGGGCCCGGCCCTGCCCTTCTCCATCCAAACGTTCCCCAGTGCCGAGCAAGGTGAGGGCTTCCTCCCTGCCCAGGCCCACCCTACCTTTGAGGAGCTTCTCTCCTTCCAGAAGATTCTGGGAGATTAATGCTGTGTAACCTTCCTCGGAGAATCCAGCCTCGCAGGTCTCCCTGGCTGTAAGATCCCCACCACGGGCCTGAGAAAGGAGAAGGAGAGGTTAGAGCAAACGTCAAGTTCACGGAAATCTACTCCAAGGGCCCGCGGGGGGCACGGCTCAGCTCCCACGGGCAGACCTGGGGGCACCTCCGCGTCCACCAGGCGAGGAGCGGCGTTGGCCAGGGGCTAGGGCACGGCAGGGTGGGCGGGCCTGTCCCTGCCCTGCAGCACCTGGAGGGGTGAAAGCGTGAGTGTCCAGGGGGCAGCAGGCCTGAGCCAGACGTTGGCCAGTGACGGCCGAGAGCGGGAGGCCGGGAGCAGCAGTGCCCAGCCGCCCTCCTTCGCTGCGATGCCCCCGCTGCGGGTGAGGTGGGCCCGTGGGCTTGCCCACCAGGGAGCGCGGTGGGTGGGGAACAAGAGAGGCGGTTCTCCAGGACTTGGCTCAGAGGGACCCGCGGAGGCCGGGGCCACAGGTAGGAGGGTGTCCCCCTCCAGTGTGCTCCGCCCTCCCCCTACTTTCTCTGCTGCAGGTCCGCCTCCGGAGCCCCGATGCTGCCAGGCAGGGAGAGAGCGCTCCCCCGACTGACAGGGAAGGGTGGGTGGGTGCCCTGTGCTCTTCGCAGCGCCCGGGCTTTCCTGCCCAGTGGGAGGTGGCCTAGAGCCCAGCGCAGGCAGGCGGCACAGTGGCAGGAGGAGGGCCCCTCCCAGGCGGGGGAGTGGGAGCCGCAGGTCAAGCGCGGGGCTGGGGGTGGAGGGAGAAACAGCCACAGGGAAGCCAGGCGGCCCGCCAGTCGGGCCGGGGCGGGCAGCAGGGGCGAAGCCCGCACCCCGCAGTGGGCGCCTTTGCTGGCCGCCCATCAGAACGCGCCTCCCGCGCCGCGGCCCCCTCCTCCGCCAGCACCCGCCCCGGCCCGAGGCTGCCCCGGCCCCGGCTCCCGCCGGCGCGGACGCGGGCGCCCCCAACCCAGAAGCAGCAGGGAGGGAGAGAGCGCGGGGTCGGGTCGTTCTTTGGGAAAAGCCCGGCACCGCGGCTCGATCCTCGGGCACAAAGCTCCACGGAGACAGGAGCCGGGGAGGCGCACTCGCCCAGGAAAGTTTGGAGCCGCCCCCGGCGAGTGCCGAGCGCACCCCGTGCCCGCAGCCGCGGAGCGGCCTGGCCGCTGGCGCTGGTTTATTTCCGAGGTTACAGCGCGCGGCCCAGGAGAAGCAGCGAGGCCGAGCGGCCACGAGAGGGGGTTCCTGCAACTCCCTCGGCCCCTCCGCCTCCCACCGGGGCGCCCCGGGCGCAGCCCGCACGCCGCCCCCCGGGCCGTGCCCCCCGCAGGCGCGGAGCTGGACTGGGGATCCGGGCTCGGGCTCCGAGGGAAGAAGGAGAGCGCCAGGACCGCGCTCCGCGGACACCCTCGCTCTGCGGCCGCCCGGCGCCGGGCTCCACGGCTCCGCTCCGAGCTGCGAGGGCCCCTCCGGCGTCCCCCGCGCCGCGAGGACTCGGCGGCGAGGCTGTCCCGCGGTCCCCATCGCCGCCCACCCCCAGCGACGGTCCTTGCCGGCCCCCAGAAAACCTAGGCGGGGCCGCGCCGCGAGCCCCGCAGCCCCGCCAGGGGTGGCCAGACCGGGTGCCCCACGCACCCCCACGCCCGGCCCGCTGTCACCAGGTCCCCGCGCCCGCAGCCCCGGCCCGGCTGTGCGCAACAACTCTGGAGGCACGCGGCTCGTGGGCGATGGAGGGCGCGCCGACTCCGCCAGCGGGCAGCCTGCCCCGGCGCGGGCGAGCCGAGCCCCGGGCAGCGGCCGCGGACCTGGGGCAGCCGAGCGATGCTCCGCGGGTCTGCTTCGGGCACAGCTCCCTCTGGCTCCTACCCACCCGGCCGGCTACCCACTCCCGCACCGCCGCTCCCCGCTGCCTCGGCGGCTCCGCGCTCCTGCCCACCGCAGGCGGCTTCGCGGGGCGCGGGAGCCGGCTGGATGCAGCGGGGCGCGCGGCGAGGGCCGGGCAAGCCCGGGAGAGCCTCTCCGGGCGTGTGCGCGCCCCGCCGGCTCCGGGGACGACCCCGCGCGGCTCGGGCTTCTGAGCAGCCGGGGCGGGAGGCGGCAACTTACCCGAAGCGCGCCGGAGAGCGAAAGCAGCACCAGCAGCACGCCGGAGCCCGCGGTCATCTTCCCCGCTGCGTCGCGTCCCGGCGCCCGCCCGCCCGGAACCCGGAGCCCGGAGCCCGCTCCTCGCCGCCGCCGCGATCGCGCCGCTCCGCGGGCCCCGCACCTCCAGCCCCGCGGCGGCGCGCTCCTTCGGGCCGGTGCGTCCGCCGGCCTCCCAGCCGCCCGCGCCTCTGTTCCGCGCGCTCCGAACCGCAGGTGAAGCCGCGCGGTCGCCCCGCCGAGGCCCCGCCCGCCGCCCGGCCCCTTGCGCTCGCCGGCCTGACGCGGGCCTTAAAGGCGCCGCGCCCCCTGCGCCGCGCCCGCACCTCGCCTCTGCACCCGCACCGCGCGGCCGGGCAAGGGCAGGGCGTCTGGAGCCCGAGCCCGCGTTAGCCGAAGGGGCCTCGGACGCCCCGTTTACAAGGAAAAGTGTGTGCGTGTGTGTGTGTGTGCACGCGCGCGCGGGGGGTGGGGTACTGGTGGGGGGAATAGGGGCGCGGAGATCGAAGAAGGCACGGGGATTCCCCCCCACGCCCCGGACACCCCTTCTGGATGGGGAGCCCCTGCTGCCGGCGCCCAGCTTTCCCTCAGGGGCCACGGTGGGAGCGGACACTCTGATGTGACCTGTATTTTTCAGGCGCCTTCTCACCGACTCCCGGGAGGCAGCCCCCCCTCGGGCCAGGCACCCACGTTTAGCCAAGAGGGGACCCAGGCTGTGTTCAGGCCCCCAGGCTGTGCTGACCCTCCAGGGCCCTGCAAGGACCCCGTCCCAGCCCTGCTGGCCGCGGCCTCGAGGGCCCGGGAAGGGACCGATTCCTATTGGTGCAACAGACGCACTGTTAGGCCTGAGAAGCCAAGGAAGAAATTAGACACCCCCGGAAAGGACAGGGAAGGAAGGGACTCTGGCAGGCGGGCGGGCGGGCGGAAGCGCGGTCAGGGCGGCTGCACCGGCAGGACCAGGGTCTCTGCCCCCGTGACTCCAGACCTGGGGATCCTTCTTTCAATGGATCACCAAGCGAAAAACAGGCACAGCTTGGGAAGTGAGAGGATGCCTCTGCGAGCTTCCTTTCAGCTGGGAGATGTAAAGGAAAGTGGCTTTGTTTGCTCAGATGGTTCACAATTTCTTTGTCTTGGTTTGGGGGAGCTCTGTGCCCAGGATGCACGAGTTCTGGTTTCAGGACTACACTGCAAAGGAGGGGCAAGAGGAAAGAGGGGAACTGTTCAACTCCAAGGTCACTGCTGAGCTCTAAGGTCAGGGTGAGCTTCGGCAAGAGGGCCCAAAAGCTGCAGACAGAATGGCCCCTCCTCCTCCCCCCAGAACTCACAGGCCGGGACGGTGTGGCCTGCTGGTCAGCGCGCGGTGGGCCCGCCTTCCAGTAATCAGACGTGCGGTGGCTCAAGAGGCGCAGGGGGAGCTCTCGGCCCAAGAGGAGGGGTCACATTAGTGTCTTCTCGCCCATAACTGCGCAACTAGTCAACACGCCTGCCTCACGTCGCCCCGAATCGCCTCCGTTCCCCGCACGGAGGTGGGACACGCAGCAGGTTACCCATTTCCCAGGCCGAATGCGCTGGGTGCGTCCTGTTCGGACTCATGCCCAGAGGGGCTTTGTGGGCGAATCCATCTGAAACCCCACCAGGGGGGACCTCCGCGCCGAACCACAGGCGCCCCGCTCCGGATGGCCTCCTCTGCTTGCCTGTGTGCGGGGGCGTCGTCCCCCACCGCAGGGAGAGCTCACCCAGGCTCCCCACGGGCGTCCGGAACGTCCCTCGCTGGAGCCGGCCTCCCTCTGTCTTCAGAGGTCTGAGCGGTGGGGCGAGGGCTTTGGGAGCAGACCCGTCCCAGGGCGCAGCGCGGGCTCTGCCGGGCTCCGTCCAGCTGATCGAGTGCCAGTTGGGAGAGAGAGAGAAATCGGGGTTGAGTGGGACCCCGAGGCCCGAATGCCAGATGAAACACGTCTCCCGTTTCCTGTCTCCCGCCACTGCGCGCTCGGCGTCTTGGTGGCACTGGAAGGGCACAGCGGCTTCCAGGCTGGTAGGCACCCCCAGCACCATGCGGCCTCGGGCCAGGCCCAGGCCCAGGCTTTGGAGCCCACGCCTCAGAGTCCCCCGGACTCGGTAAGCGGGCACTGTGGTCACGCCCATCAGACAGGACGGGCCTGCGGCGGCTGCGGCGCTGCTGACGGGACGGGCCTCCTCGCCCAGGCCCGCGCCCCGGCCTGTGGCACGTCCCAGGCGCCTTTGGTGGAGGGAGCCCGTTGACACAGCACAGCGTGGGGGCGCTGGCGTCTCCAGGAACACGAGCCAGAAGCACTGCAGCGGCGGAGGGGAGCCCAGCAGAGAGCATCCGTTTGTCAGAAGCGCGAGCACTCGCAGTGGCTGAGGCGGTGCGGCTGCGGATGCCTTCAGGAGGAGGGGGCGTGTGAGCTCCCATGCCAGGCGGTGGGTTTCAAAGGCTGGCTTGCAGCCTGGCCCCCGCAAGGCAAGGCCCCCAGGCCAGCAGCAGGCGCACCCTGCAGGGGCTTGTTACAAACGCAAAATGGACCACAGGCGACACCCCAGCCCCCCACCCCTGCCCCATGGAACGCTGCACGCTAATGGGCTTCCCTCCACCCCACCTCTGCCCCGGGACAATCTGCTTCACACTGGGGGGGGGGCTCCTGCAAAGTGCCCTGCGGACCTGGAGCTTTGGGGTCCCGGCCTGGGACCTGGCCCTCTTGCAAGCTCCGGGGTTCATGTTCATGCACGCCGGTGTCGGGGCACCGCTGGCCTACCCGGCGTCAATAGGCAGCCCCTGGGAGCTTCCTGGCCAGCCCCCCACCCCCGACCTACTGGCTGTGGGTGTCCTGGGGGGAGCCTGGGAGTCAGCACTGGGCGGGAGAGACGCTGCGCGGCCCTGAAGGCGATAGCCAGCCGCCCCACCTGCCCAGCGCCTGCAGCAGGCATCGCTGGCACCTGGCTGCTGGCGAGGAGCCCCAGGGAAAAGCGCCCTTTGTCCCTAAGAGAGATGAGGAGAGCGCATGGGGGCGGGTAGCTGTGAGCGCGCCCTGGGCCCCCGTGAACTGGTGGCTGTGCCTGGGCCACAGGGGGTCGCGAGGCTGGCGGGACCGCCCTCTTCCCCCCACGCGTGGAGGCGAGCCTGGGAGGGGGCCATCTGTGGGAGCAGAGCGAGCGCTTCCACGGGCCTGTGTTTCCCTGCCTTTGGCTCGGATGTTCATTTGTTTTCCCCCATTTCTCATTATTTTTGTAGACACTTCACTGTTACATAAAAAGCTGTTTTGTAAAGAAAACAGGGAGATGTAGCAGAAGGTGCGTTTGTCGCAAAAGGTGTGCTTCTAGAATAAAACAGCCTTTGTGGGCAAATGAAGATATTCCGGGCACCGAGGAAACAGAACAGGGAAGCGCTGGCTCAGAGGAGAAAGCATGAGACAGAGAGAGGGACAGAGAGACAGACAGGCGGACAGGCAGCAAGCGGAGCCCCCCGCCTTTCAGTCCGGCGACGCCCGCTGTGGGGGGCCGACAGGGGGCTGACCTCCTTCGTACCGAGCTCGCCCGCCCCGTCCACGGCTGCGGGGCAGAGGAATGAGACCGGGGCGCGGGGAGGGCGCTTCCCCGTGGCTGCGCCCGGGACAGCGGTTTAGGGGGCGGCAGGGGCGGCGGGGGCGGCGGGGGGGCAGGGAGGACGAGACAACAAATGTCTGAGGAGAGGAAGCCAATTAAACAGTCAAGTGGATAATATTAGATTTAAAGGGAGGAAGAGAACAGGGGAAATGCTGGAAATATGAGTGCACCAGGAGTGGCAATAAAACACGCGAGAGACCAAGGAGACGGGGAGGAAGTGGAGGATGGACTTCACAAGCTCAGGCGTCTGCTGGGAACAGGAGGCTTCCTGCTGGCTGGGGCCGCTGTCCCCGCGCAGCGGCGCTGGCCTGTGGCGCCTCGCTTGGATCCTGTCGGGTCCCATTTAACCTGGTGTTTTATGGGACTTGGGGGTTCGCTGCTGATCACCTGCCCCAGGACCCAAGTCCAAGTGCCATGAAGGGGCGGGGCTCCCCGCCGCTGTGACCGGGCTCAGGCGCCCTGAAGACCCAGCCTCGGCCCGCTGCCCAGTGAGGCGGCTGGGGACACAGCCCCAGCCTCAGGACGCGGGCCCCCGACGCGTCCGCCCCAGCAGCGTCTGCTGACGGCCAGGGTCCTCCCTGGCGGGAAGGCATCTCAGCCCCGCAGCTATGATGCGGGACGTGGCTTCTTCTGGAGCCTTCCCCACACAGCGGAAGAAGAGGGGGAACCAGAGGGCCCCCTGGGGAGCTCGGTTCTTTCCCAGGTGCCCGCGTGGCCCCCAGGACCACAGGCACCTGCCCCCCCACAAAAGGTGAGGGAGACCTGTCCAAGCCGCCACCCAGTGTCCGTGCTGGGCGCGCTCGGGCCGCGTGCACGGATGGACGAGACAGTGGCGTCCGGGCTTCCAGAGAATCGTGCCCAGGCCAGGCCTGCTCCCCGGGTCCCTGCGGGGTCCCCCGAACTCACTGATTCATCCAGGCGCCGACGACACGCAGGTGCTACCTTCTGTTCCAGGGACGCAGCTGGGGACAGGAGACTCGGCCTCCGTCCCTGTCGACATCACAGTCCAGCGGGGAGTCAGGCAGACGGCGGGCGAGGGCGGCGGAGCCAGCGACATGTGCTCAGCGGCAGGGCCTGGCGCGTTCTTGCACGGAGTTTCTATCCATCCTGCTCCTGGAATGGGACTGACGGCCGCGGCCCGATTTAGGGGCGAGAAAACGCACTTGCTCGGCCCTGGGGTTAGAACACAAGAGGCGTCGTCTGCCGGGGGCTGTGTGCCACAGCGTCTCTACGAGGTGCCCTGGGTGGTGAATTTCCCACTTTAAAAATGAGTAAACTCTCTATGTCAGAGCAGGTTTGCATTTGCAGAATGTAGGGAGGGTTCTCGTAGGCCCGCTCTTCCCCCCCCCCGGCTGGCCCCTGCACCCAGGTTCTGCGGCTTGACAGGCCTCTTCGCTGTGCTA